AGCTTTGTAATGTTTTGAACAACCAATAAAAAAAAGTTGTCATAGATACTTATTCCCTATAACTACAATCTATATTAGACTAAGTTTTCTTAGATTCTTCTGAATAAGACATCAAAAAAACTAGTTTCAAATCTAAAAAGGGAGAAAATAACATAATCTATATATCCTTATTATAAAAAAAATAAATGTCTCTTTCAATATCCAACCTTTCAAGAGATTGGACAATCTTTTCTGAGTATTGAGAGTTATCCACAAATATATTTTCTAGCTTTAATCTTTTGTCTACAGATGCTTTCTTCATCCTTCAGAGAACTTAGAGCTTTGTCTACGATCTCCAACCAACTAACACACCACGTGAAAGTTGAAATTTACAACCAAGGCCTGTTTATGAACATGATCAGAGGTACTCAATGACACATTTCACATTTTCCAAAGCACTAGTACTCTGAGAGACTGTCTAAACAAAAACAAAAATCAAGAAAGCAAACTAAAATTAAATCCAGACAAATTTATAGCATGCTGTGAATAAACTAGCTACAAATCAAATGGACTGTATACTGCTTAAGTTATTTATATGTGTCAGTAATTTCAGATTTTCTTGATAGTTTTTCAATACAAAATTTTTGAATGCTGCTTAAATTCAACAGCGGCCTAGAGCCTGTTCTATATGTTTATCTAGAAATTTCATAATATTAAAGAAAATCTGACACAACATATAACAATCCTAGTTTCACATATTAATCTGAACACTTCAAAAAGTTTTTGATATTATACTGATATAAATGGAAAAAAATCCTTTTAGGCTCAAGCTCAGACTCAGTAACATTTTATATCAAATAATATAAATGTTTATTATTCAGGAAGTAATCAAACAGATGAAAATTAACATTTCCTTTTCTGAAGAAGCCCATTCAATGTTTCTTCCAAGAATCTGCAAGTTATTTGCTAAATATAAATTCATTCTCAAAATACCAAAAATGTCCAGCAAATGTCATTCATGTTCATAAGTGAAAAGGGCTCACAATTTCTGTGGTGCCCCTGGCCTGAATTTAGTTGAAAGAGCACAGGGTGCTCTTTTATAACATACATTTAAAAAAATATATATATTTATTTATTTTAGTTGTAGTTGAACACAATACTGTTATTTAATTTATTTATTTTTATGTGGTGCTGAGAATCAAACCCAGGGCCTCATACACAATGGGTGAATATTCTACCGCTGAGCCCAATCCAGCCCAATGACCTTCTCTACTCAAGTGAGTTTCACTGTTGGCAGGTAAGGTTTCGGTCAACACATATGAAAGCTTAGCATACAAAAGGGCACTTATATGTGTCAGTGGCAAGGTTATCCTGTAGCAGCAGGTATTTTTCAAAAATGTTAAAACTGTTAAGGACATATTTCAACATTAATAGAAAGTACTTATTTTCCTTGACAGTAGTATATCCAATAAAATAAGGCTTTGACTATTAATTTCTAGCTTATATCACATTTTGTTTTATTTTAAATCATGTTTAACAAAATGTTGTTTAAAACAAATATAATTCTACATCATTAGTGTATAATTAATAGGAAAGTCCCAGTTTATGTTAGGTTTGTGTCAGGCATGGTGTTACGTTGTTTACACAAATTATTTATTTTTTTACTTGCAACTCAAGGAGTTGCTTCTATATTTTTGTTACAGTGAATAAGGAAGGGCACCAGAAAGGCTTTATGTTCATATTTCCTTTTGAATTATAGTTGCTTGGAATATATTTTCCCAAAAATCCCCCTGGCACAAGAGTACAAACAATTTTAAAGTTCTTATTTTATACATTGCCAACCTGACCTCCAAAAAGACTACCACATTCATCACTATCACTTGTACTGAGATTATCTTTTCTTTATAAAACAACTAAAACTTCTTGATAGTACTGTCTACTTATTAGCATGGTTTAACATTCTTCCTATTGTCTAAGCTTTTTCATGGGTCATATGGTTCAATGCTCTATTGAGTCTTATTAATTAATCAGCAATATTAAATCTTAATATTCAATTATAATTATTAGTTCTCTATATGTTGGACATACACTGAACTTTCACTAGTGCCTTCTTTCTTAATTTGTTTATCTACTATTCAAAAACCTTTTTAATTTGTATCATTAAACCTTTATTCACACCACCATACATTTCTCAATGAAAATTTCTTCAACTATCTGAGTAGTTTACACGTTTGTCCCCATCTACAGATTTAAATGCAGTTTTTTTAGTTTTATATCTTCCATATTTCATATCTATATTCACCTATTTCTTTGTTCTTAATTCTTTTACCAAACTGGTGGTACCTTTATAAGTCTTAAAGCTGGGAAAGGTCAATCTCTTACCACTACTTTTAATTTTTTCCTTATACTTTGGTATTCTTCAGTGTTTTTAAGTATATAAACTTGGGGGGAAAAAAGCCCTTAGGACACTTATGTACTTCTCCCTATCACTGGTCATGGCATAGTATGAGTGAACTACATGTGGTTAAACTGTATCTCCTCAGGAAAATAGCACCACTGCATGGATCTGGCATCCTAGGGGAACTTCATCTTTTGGTCACAGGGTTAAGAGCTCCTGGTTTCATAGCCCTAAAGCCCTCTTTGAAATGTCCTATATATAAGCTTTCCTATCATTATACTCTCTGGTAGAAGATTACAACTAAATCTTAATATGCATTCAATTACTTCTATATACAAACTGAGGGAAATACTATTTTTCATTATACAGAATCTTTCTAAATATAGCAGAACAATCCTTCTAATGGAAAGTATTACAGCAACACCAATAATGATAACAGTGAAGAACAACAGCATTCTACCTTTGGGGAAAAAAAAGCAAATAGATAACAAATGGTCTTTGTCTCCATTATGGATGAGATTTTTTTCTTTATTGTTTATGGGAGACAACTATAACCCCATGACAAAAATTCAATTATAAAACAAACTTGAATCAACATGAAGACACTATCTATCATTTATATTATATTATATATATTATATTATATTATATTATATTAATATTATGGTGCTAGGAATCGAACCCAGGCACCATGCATGTCTCTACCACTGAGCCACATTTGTAGCACTATTAATCATGTTAGAACAACTTGTGGACTGGTAAGACTTAGAGGAAAAGAACGATTTTACTAATTAGTTGTTTATGATTTGCTTAACATTTAAATCTTTCCTTTCCATACATGTTTGATTTTTCAAAATGTTTAAATGTTTAGAGAACTTGGTTCACAGCAGCAGCTACATGCCTTTGTTTACTGAGATCTTAAGGTTTTAAGCTAATAATATTGCTAAGATTATTCTAAGGCTATATATTTATTTCTTTAGCAGTTAACAGCTTTTAATAAACATTATGCCAGGTGCTGATAATATCCAAATATGCAAGAAACCAGGTTCACTCTCCTCAAACTGGGGGGCATAATGGTAGAGAAATAAATACCAGTAACAATGGTTTTACAAAGGATATTGTTTATCAAAAAAGAAATGTGTGTGCAGTGTCAGGCAAAGGGGTAACAGGAAGAAGAAGACTGGAAGGAAGGATAGGAATTCAACAGAAAAATTAAGAAGGGCAACCCAGACAAAAACAAGGAAGTATGCATGTGCAAGACAGCAGGGCACAAGCAATCCAGTGCAGGAGAGGCAAGAAATGGAATTCACTTTCTCCGTAAGTCCCCAGAAGCTAACCACACCAAAGCCATGGAATCAATTCTCCCTCTTCCCTTACATTAAATATCCAATACCACAGTATCTCTAGTTCATCTTCTAGAGTCTGCACTTTACTCTGCTTTCACTAGTAGTCCAAGTACCAGAAGAGAAATCAAGTAAGATAGGAACTGTAAGACCAAAAGAATGGTCTTTGATGACCTCTGCACTCATTGTCACTGAAAACAACAGAAGCAGAAAGTGGGGAAAATGAAAAACAAACAGTGGGCCCTGCCTTAGAATATGGTAATGAAAAAAATGAGATTCAGGTCCAGAGGCTAGAGAATTTCTCTATGTCTTTAAGACAACTGAGTAAGTACATGCTGAGGGAAAGAAGTCAGAAAAAGAAAAGGAAAGAGCAAGAAGAAGAATAAGAATTAAAGAATAATTTGAAAAGTAGTTCCAGAAAAGTATGGAGAATAAAGGTAAAGAGGTAGGGAACCAGCATTTCTGAAAAGTAGAAGAAATTAAAAAGGATAGGGCTGGAAGCCTGGTTAAGTTCAGAGAATGGGCAGGAAAGCTTTTGAAATAGAGCACCCCACACACCTTCCTTGTGGTGCAGTCATGGGAAAGGAGGGCAGTGGGGAGGAAGTGGAGGTGAAGAGACCACACCCTGGTTGATTTCAATATTCTCCTAAACAGCTTAGGAGTAACAAAAAAATACTGGCAGAATGAAGCCACAGAAAAGTCATGTTCTCCCCATTGCCCAGAAAAAGAAAAACATACACAGTTCCCCATGGAAATGGAAATTTCAAATGCAAGAGCAACCAAAACAATGAAGCTTCCTTAAAAACACATAAATTACACATTTGTCAACACTGTTTCCATCCTTGTATCACTGCAAACACTTCTAAAATAATGCCCAATGTTCTTTCTTTATATGTACTATTTCATATGAAATGAAGAATTAGATAACATTAAAAAGAGGTGAGACATAGCTAATTTTAGTTTACCTAGAAAGTACATAAACACATTTTACCTCTCGTATTTCATGGCCTGCTCCTCTGTATGACTGCAAGTCCTCCAAGATGCCTTCTGCATCTTTTAATACTACATTCACCTGATTATAAATTTCCTTCTCAGATTCTGTAGGCTGGGCATCTAAATAGCAGGAAAGCACAAGAAAATTTACAGTGACATGAATTTTTTTAATACACGTAAACTCTAAGCAATTAACACAAATTTTCAAAGATATGTTACATTTATTCAATGTTAACTTTGCACTTAGAAAAGATTAATAATTTTTCCACAGTTATACATTTGAATAACTAGCCTCACATTTATAAAAATTACACAGATTTAAGGGAGCACCAAATATTACTATTTAGGTTACAAATTATGATTTGGTATAGTAAAATATTCAAAAATTAAAATTAAAAATGTAAACTCTGATATTCTTTATAATCTTTTTCTACTACATTGATCACTGTCACTAGTGACTATAGATGCATCAATAATTATTTATTTTAATGCAACAGAAATGAAAGCCTACTAAAATATCTTGCTAATCTACAGTTTAAGACTAACACTACTTTATTTTCCTTTAAAGTTCACTTTAACAACTGAATTTTGATAAGAAAAAGTAAAAACTTCAAAAAATAGTTTTTAGATACTCTTTTCTAGGGACCATTTTGAATTGTCTTGACAATAAGATCACATAGGGCAGGGTATACATATTTAAGAATAAACTAAGGCCATATCATTGAACTTCACTGCTGATTAATAGAAGGCCAAGATTTCTGCACAGAGGAAGTTCAAATTAAAAAACTGTTACAGAATTCCTGAGTTGGTGAAAGCAAGATACTTTAAGCTAAACTACAAGACTATCAATGAAAAATTTAAATACTAAGCAAATACGGAGTTTCTACACACTTGGTACTGAGAGAAAAATTGAGGGGAAAAAACAGTCATAAAAACATAATCAGGGACAACATATGGGCATTTTCACCACCTGTGGTGTTAGCCAGAAAACATATGCTAATGGTGATGAAATCTGGATTTCTCTCTGCTAGACTTGAGATAACAGAAACCCTATTTTAAAAAACTTGGTCACCTGTTTCTCTAAAGCCAAACCTTTTTAATACATTTGTTTCTTTTTCTTTCTTCCTTTCTTTTTAAGGAAAAAGGGGGACTCCACAAGGACACATTTCTTCATAAATCTTTCCAACTAGACCACACTTGACATTGAAGGTAAGGCATAAAGCACTTAAAATGATAAACATTATGATTACCATAATGTTTTAGAGGAAAATTATGCTGGCAGGATTCCTCCATGCTAAAATAGGAGCGAAGGGAGGCAGTCCAAATTTATAAGATGAATTAAGAACACTTCTGATAAATCTCTTTGTCATATAAAACCAGTACCTAGACTGTCTATAACCACTTCACCTCCCCACACATACAAAATGATCTATTTAGTCCTTTACTTAAAAAATTTAAAAGAAACTTAATTCATACATGAAACTAGGAATAAAGATGCTTTCAAATTACAACTTTATTTTGTGCTAGGGGCAAATCATAATTCCAAATATCAAACCTGCCAACTAATCAAAAATGTACAACATATAATTTGAAAAAAATCAACAATTGCAGTACCAAATTTTAAATTTAACATATGTAAAACAGTACTACAACAATTAAGTAACACTAATATGCAAAGCCAATTTATAAAATTTGTGTTTATATATCTGTTCCCTTATTTTTCAAATTTCTTTTCAAAACTTTGTAAAAAAAATAAAAATGCTACGACAAAGTAATTAATTACACAGAAGAAGCCAATTAAAACACTAAAGACTCTGTCCAAATCTACAAAGGCATCACTAGATTTTTGAAAATCAGGATTTGTCATTATAGCAGTAAATTTTTATAACATTTAGCCAGACCATCATTTTCAAAAGTCGTAATTAGACACAAACTGAAAAGAAGGCACACCCATAACTTTAATACTTACACAAGAGGCAGCAGAGGAAAATACTTTTTACATGCAAAAATGACAGTTTTATACTTTTTCATTATGGAATTGTGGAACTACAGACATAACATCAATAATAAACACACATTATAGTTTGAATTCATGAAGTGGGAATTCATGACAAAGGACAATATTTTATCTATTATACATCTAAAGCAATTGTGAAGTTTGAAAACACTAAACTGTATTTCTGGTGTGGTGACTAGTTGTTAACACAAAAATATGACACTGAGACACACAGAGGAAACATTTTCAAGTAGAATTAAATAGACCTTGTAAGTAGTTAATACTAGTAAAGGTTTAATAAGTACAAAGAAATTTAAAAATAAAGGAGAAGATTCAAGTTTCCCCTAAGGCTGGGGAAAACACCCAGCACCACACTGGTTAAACATTTGTTAGACTGTCACGGAAAGTCACGTTTATAATTTTGAAAGCTGCTGAAGACTGCTGTAGAAATGAAGACAAACAGAAAACAGCAGACAGGTACGCGCTACTTTACTGGAAGCAAGTCATGCAAAGGAGTGAAATACTAGGGAGGGAAAAGACTGTATAAAAACAAAGCATTTTTTCAAAAAATGGCCTTTTATAATATGCAACCAAGACTTGTCACTTTGATTTTTCATAGCAAAGAATGGCTTTACTATTTCAAGAAAAATGTACAGTCTGATAACAAAAGAACACTTATCTGATTGCAAAATAATGTACCTACTATTTAGAGTAGACAAACTGATTGTTTAAAGATAAAGATGAATTATTTTAATAATTTCACACCCGTTTCCTTAGGGTAACAGAAGATGATTCACTATCATATTTGCTAAAATTGAAGATAGTATATTTTAAAAGGAATGGCAAAATAGCTAGGAAAGGAAAAAAATAAAAAGCAAATCAACATAAAAGTTATAATAAAGTCTTTCTGCTTTAATCTGACATTATATTCATTCACTCATAAATATTTCAATCCATCTCTATAAGCTTCATTAAGTCAGGATCAAAATGTACATTCCAGGAGCTGGAGTGTAGCTCGGTGGTACAGTGCTCATCTCTTATGTATGAGCACTGGGTTTGATCCTCAGCACCACACACAAATAAAGAAATAAAATGAAGGTTTTGTGTCCATCTACAACTAAAAAATTATATGTATATTTAAAAAGTACATTATACAGGCTAGAGTTGTGTGGCTCAGTGGTAGAGCGCTTGGGGCACTGGGTTCTATCCTCAGTACCATATAAAAAATGAATAAGTAAAGGCACTGTGTCCATCTACAACTAAAAAAGAAAATTAAAAAAAATTTAAAAAGTACATTCCATACCACTGGTAAAGTATATAAATCAATACCTACATTTCCTATAATATTATCTGAATGAATGAGAAGGGTCAATAAATAATCCTCCAACATGAATTAAAGGAGGCTATTATGCGTTTTTTTCTCTGAACATATAACCCTACATAATTTTATAAAAAGAAAATTTTAAATGCCACTAGAATAAATAAACTTCCAAGTATAGGATCAAAGCAATTGAAAATGTATGTGAGAAAATGGAAAAAAAAAATAAAGTTAGACTAAAGAGTGGATACCTACATTTTCAAATGATGGTGGGAAACAGGCAACACAAAAAGACATTGGAGGAAATGTACAAGTCAATGGGAAGGCACTGTTAAAACAAAGAATCTGAGAAAGGGTACTCTAGTTCTTATTTATGAATGACCACTTCCTACTCCTATTCTGATCTATCTGGATATAAATTTAACAAATATAAAACTTCTATTACTTACAAAGTACTCTGCTAAGGTTAAGAAGGGACACAAAAACAGTAAGTGTCCCACTTCTTCCAAGTTATGCAAACTAAAGACGTGTCATTAGAATGAGCAATAAATTAATGATGTTATAAAATAGTAGGAAATTCCAAGAATGAGAAGAGACTTTATGGGCTCCCATTCAGTGTTTTTCACATACTTTGATCAGCATAATTTCTATCAAATTTTATGGAGCGATACTGGGATTATATCTTAACTGCCACTATGAAATAAAATAAAAATGAAATTTTATCATATAGATGCAATTTGTCTTAAGGAAAAAAACTCCTCCTGCCCAAAGAGCATGTTTTAATAAACACAGAATGACTTATCATGCCTTAAGGTCTTTGTAAGTTGCTGCTTCTTTCTACAGTGTCTTTCACTAAAATGGCTTTTTTCACCTTCTAAATAAAATCTAATTCAAACACCACCATAAGATAAGTTTTCCATGGTGATGTCCAATCTACACTTAAGTTAATACCTTCTGATATATGCCTTGAATGTAACTTATGGAAGTAAACTATGAGTTTACATTTCTGTCTATGCTGTGCTATCAGACTGAGAACTCCCTGAATGTAGTTACCTTTGCATCCCCAGCACCTTCTGGCTGGTATACAGGAGAAAGTATGCATATATTAAACTGAAGTAGAAAAACGGTATGGAAAGGGGACAGTTAATAAAGACTTATTTAAAGATGGTCTTCATTTGTAAACTCTTAAGATTTTTAAATGCACTAGAATACTTAATTTGTATACCAAAATTTGCATGTAAATTAGTACATAAAAAGCTAGATTTATCTACATGGAATTATTTCTATATTGCTTAACTATGGAGGTATACTGAGCAAGATTTAACCAATTAGAATGATGGAACTGGTGGCCTGAATATTACTACATATCTAGAAATAAGCAATGTAGTATTATTAACTACTCCATTTAATAAAAAAAATGTGGTTTTATTCTAAGTAATAATTAGGAACAGGTAAATTAACTGTTTGGGCAATTTTTAATGTGGTAAAAAAAATTTGAGAGGTCCCTTTGATGGACCAAGGCTCCTATGTAGTCTAAAGATAAGGCAATGTTTCACACATGCATATTTCCAAATGAAGAAACATACACAAAAAGATGAGAGAAAAAAGAAAACACCAATGTTAGAATCAAAGAAAAACATATTTAAAAATATAAAGTAACAACAAGTGAACTCTGTTCTGGTATAATAGTATGTTTTCACTAGATTTCACTTATAGTATAGTATACCAGGAAGCGTCAAAATAAAAGTTCTACATTGGCAGATGGGGGGCAACAGGTATCATTTTTTAAATTTATCTGCCTTTAAGAAATTAATACTTTCGATGTAATTCTACATTATTAGATATTACTGTTGTTAGCAATTTTAACCCTTGCCTGCTACTAAGTTTGCCATTTAAAATTTTATGTTAATGACTCAATCCCCTTAAGACTGGAAAAGTCAAGACAAATCATCTTTTAAATACTACATTTAACTTCATGCTTCCCACTGGACCACAACATGATAGATTAATAAAAAGATCAAGTGCCAAGTCTTGAACAAGATCTTGACTATATCAAAGCCAAGATTCTGCAAATGTAAAAAAATTTGGGACAAAGAGTAAAAAGGAGAGAGAGAAGAGCAGAAAAATAGACAAGACCAAGTTTGAAACAGATGCAAATAAACTAAAATACAGCTTTCATGTAAGTTGCCTCCTCTGAAAGAATAATTTTAAAAAGTCAGCAATTTGCTCAACATCCCCAAGCTGATTAAAAGTCATGCTAAACATGCACTTAAAATAGCATTGTTAAATTGTTGAGAAGGGTCAAGAAAATTAATACATCTAATAACATTTTCCCCTTCAAAAAAAAAAAAAACAACAATTTAATATGGTCCTGATATTGACATTACTTCTCTTTACTAGCCTGCACACAGTACACAAAGTGTAACAGATCATTTATAGGAATGTAGTAAATGTTGAAAATATCAGTGACCACAAATATTCTATAAAATGGAGATATGCTATAAATTGATGTGTTCATATAACAAGTGCCCTGGCTCAAAGGGAAAAAAGTATAAATGATTCATAACATAGAATAAACTATATAAAAACTAAACAGAAGTTGGTAGTAAAGATAATGTCTTTCTTTGGGTTCATTTTAAGGATTTATTTTATTTTTAAAAGAAAAAGTCTTAAATTTTAGGAATCTATTCAAATGTTTTAATCTCAGATAAAGTGTAAGGAATCATGAGATTTAACCTAAATGCTATCTCTTCACCCTTTCCTAACAATTTTCTAATGATCAGTTAAAACAGCAACATTCACGCTAAAAGACCAATTTAATATCATTTTTCTCAATTTGACAACCAGACAAGCTAAAGCGATACCATCAGCCAAAAAAGCAAAAGCTTTGCACAC